ACGCTTCCTCGGGCAGAGCTGCCGCCGGCCAGCGGAGCCACGGGCGGGCCCGGAGCCCGACAGCGGGGGGCTCCCCGAGGGGGTGGAATACATCCCCACGCGAAAGAAGGGCAAGAACCCGATGAAGCCGGTGGGGGTGGCCTGGTGAGTGGCTGGGGTGGTGGGAGAGGCTCGGCACCCGGGAACTCCGCTGCTCTGCGGGGCCCGGCATGGGATGGGGTGGCCTGGGGGGCTGCAGCACTCAGCAGAGGGGTGTCTGTGCCACCCGAGGGTGGCACAGGGCCCTTGTTTCCCCACCAGCTCTCTCCATGTCCTGCCCACCGGCTGTCCTGCAGGGCCATCGGATTGCCCTCTGGCATCATCCTCTTCCTTCTGGCCAAGCGGCAAGTGGACAAAAACCGTCTGGAGCAGCTCAAAATCCGCCGAAAGATGATGGAAGCCAACCAGGGCGAGTATGAGACGGAGCGATATGAGAGGGTGTTCAAGCGGTCATAGCTGGGCCTCCCCCTGCCTGGCACCCCACGTGGCACCTTGAAGGGACTGGCTGATGTGGGACATGCAGCACTGGCACCTGCCCTCCCCATCCAGCCCATGGGGTGGCCATGGGGCTGCATAAGGACAAATAAACCTCATCCCTGGTGAGTGGAACAGCTTGGTGCCATGGCGGTTGTTCCCTCAGTGCTCAGCCCCAGGCTCTGCCTGCCCCCACAGCAGGGGGAGACCCAGCTGCTCTGCAGCCAGGGAATCTGCTTACAGGGGTGGAGGAGTACAGGCAGGGGAGGGAGGCCAGGCCTAGAGCAGCTCGACCTTGTTTTTTCCGCCCTAAAGCCCCCTGAAGCTGCCAACAGGCTTTTTGTGGGAGTCACCACACCAGTAAGACTAGGACCGTCTGGAAAATTAAAGTGTTTTATTTAGCAAGTGCAACTTTGCCCACGTCTTTGGCTGCAGAGCCTCTGCGATGTGAGCTCTGCCACAAGTCCTGCCACGGGGGTCCCAGCTGCCCCCTGCCCACACCTGGCACTGCCACAGCTCAGGGAGGGGGCATGGCTGGAGCTGCGTTTAAGGCACCAAGTGAATGACACCAACCAGCCTCTGCCAAAAAAATCCCAACACGATCCCAGCGGCTGCTGCCAGCTCCCCATGCCCAGGCAGGACCATGGCACTCCGCTGCCAGCCCGGCACCACTAGCACAGCCTCAGCAAGCGGTGCCGAGGTCGAGCACTGCCTAAACACTGGCAGGTGGTCCCCCCCACCACCCTTGGAGGTTTGTCAGGGGGTGATCAAGGGAAGCCCTTTCCTTAGCAGCCTAGGGGTAGGGATGCCAAAGCATTAGGAGTCGTAAGTGGCCATATCCTGTATAGAGGCCAGAAGAGGGGGTGAGGGGCATCAAGAAGGGGAGAGGAGGGTTCCCGGGGCTAATCCCGGCCCACAATCTGCAGGATGAAGGTGAAGATATAGACGATGTCAGTGTAGATGGTGAGGGCACCATAGACATACTCCTCAGGGCTCAGTGTGTTCTTCCTGTTCCCCAGCACAAGTTGGGTATCATAGGCGAGGAACTGGGGAGGCAGAAGGTGTCAGGCAGGAACACGGTGGGGGTTCCCCCCTCCCCAGTTCCTCTGCCTGATCCCCTCTGCCCAGCCCAGCCATTAACTTACCAGAGTGAAGGCGATGGCGCCGATGGCGGCATACAGCATGTGGAGCCATGGGACCTGCGCGGGGAAGGGGACACAGGCAGGGTGAGCCAGGGTGCTGCAGGCAGCGGGCAAGGCAGGGCAGGTCCTGCCCGCACCTGGCTCCTGAGGAGATGCTGCTGATGCTGACACCAGCTGACGCACCCTCTCCCTGCGGGCAAGCTGCCTCTGCCATGGCTGGCACCACACCCTGCTTCCCAGGAATGGGGACCACCCAAACCCCCCAGCCCGTGCCAGTCCTGGAGACACCCGTGGCACACCACAGCCCCTCTGTCTCCCTCACTCACATATTTGAAGGAGAGGACGATGGCGGTGACAATCCCGGTCACCATGACCACGATGCCCAGCACACAGAAGAGCCCCGGACATGATGTAAAATCAACCTGCCAGGGGGGAAAAAAACATGTCATGGGAGAGCCTGGGCTGTCCCCACCACCTGGCTCCCCGCACCTGACCCCCCACAGGACATGACAGGGCACATCCCCCTCCTTGCCTTGGTCTGGAAGCAGAAGATGGTGACAATGATGGCCACGATTGCAGTGATGAGCATGGCGATCAGGACAGCGTTAGTCCGGTACATGCTGTGGACCAAGGGGACACCAGTCACCCCATGCTTTGGGGTGCCAGGGGGGTGTTGGTGACTCCCCACAGCCCTGATCCTTCACAGGGACCCCACTGTCCCTGAGCCCAGGGGACCAGGGTGTCCCCAGGCTCCTGGCAGCCTCTCATTTGAGCTGGCCACACGGCGGAGGACAGGAGGGACCCCAGCTCCTGTCACTACGGGTTCCCCAGGGCATACCTGGCGATCGTTCCCGTCATCAGCCCCATGGCCAGCGTCTGTGGGAGAGAAGGGCGGGCTTAGCAGGACAAGCAGCACCATGGGGGGCAGCAGTTCCCAGCGCCCCCCGCCTGTCCAGATGTCCCCCTACCCCTCCCAGCCCTCCTGGGGAGCTGGGGTGCCATGGGGACACCCCTACCCCCCTGCCCCCTGCTAGCCTCAGCCCACTCACGAAGATGCTCAGCAGGATGATGTTCCAGGGAAAGCGTCTCCTGGGGATGAAATGGGAAGAGAGGTGAGCTGGTGACAACGGCCATGTCATGTCCCCTTGGTCCCCAACCCCCAGGGGCAGCCTCAGGCAGGGCCCTTGCTCCTGATGACCTGGAGACCCCTCCCTACTGATGACCTGGAGACCCCCTCACCAGCGACTCACCGGGGACCCTGGCAGCAAGCCAGTACCAAGTAGGTCACCAGGAACACGGCGCTGCAGAGAAAGACAGTGGGTGTCAGCCCTGCGACCCCCCCACCATGACCCCCCGGGCTGGGAGGCTGAAACTGTGGGGTGCCCAGCTGCCAGAGGGCACCTGGGAGGGTGCAAGCCAGCAGGCCCCCTACTCACTATGAGGCGTAGTAGATGGCAACGTTCCTCTGGACGAAGGAGCGTACAGGGGAGCTGTGGGACAGGAGGGACAAGCGTGAGGGAAGGGGAACAGCAACTACTGTCCCTGCAGGACCACTCCCAGGGGACACAGGGCCAGACTCCCCCCAGCCTTTTCCAGGCAAGGCTAAGGAGGGACCTTCCACTTACACAAAGGTGAACACAGAGATGATCCCCACCGTCACCAGCAGCTGCAGAGAGATGATGGCGTAGACCTGCGAGAGACATGAGGAGGGGTATCAGCAGCCGGCCCCCACCCCAACGTGTCCCCCCCTACCCTGACGGGTGCCCCCGGCCCCCTAGGACTTGCCTTGCGGATGAAGGTGTGCCGGACTTTCCTGTCATCCCAGTCAACCGATTGGAAGGGGGAGCCGTCCCCAATGCCATCATCACCTGCAGCAGGGGACACCCCTCATCACCAGTGTAGGCTGCGCAGCCCTCCATAGCACCCTTCCTTCTAGTGTCCCCTCCAGAAAAAAACCAAAGTGCCCCCACTTACCAAACCGAATAGGCATGGTGGGCATTGCCATCCCCGGCTGCGGGTACCCTCCTGCTGCTGGGTACCCCCCTGGCTGCGCGTATCCTCCTGGCTGTGCGTATCCCCCTGGCTGCGCGTATCCCCCAGGCTGTGGGTACCCCCCAGCATAGTGGGGGGGCTGTGGGTAGCCCCCTGGGGGTGGAGGGTAGAGGGGGTTCTTGTCGTCATAGGGTGGGGGTGCACTGGGCTGTGCCATGCCGGCTCCCTGTGTCTCCTGCAGCCACCTGGAGGGGACAGAAGATGGGGGAGTGTTAGCGCAGGTCCCCCCCTCCCCACGAAGGACGTGTCCCCAGCGAGCAGAGCCGCAGGTGCGGGGACACAGGGGACAGTGGAGCCACAAAACCTCCTCCTCCCACTTTAATAGTGGCTTCTAATTAATAAGGACGAGCTGGCCTCAATGCCAGAGGGTCAACGAGAGGCAAGGGACATCCCTTGGCCAGGGCCACCTGCATTCTTGTGCCCTGAGTCCCCGGAGCCTGCGTCAGTGGCCAGCCACAGGCAGGGCACAGCCACGCGCTGACTCAAGCCACAGCAGGGACGTGGCCTCTGGAGCCCACCCTGCCATTGCCGGGGGGGCGGGCAGGGAGCACACACACACAACTCCCCCTTCTGTGCCCTGGCTGGTATCCAGCTCCTGGTGGCACAGCCCTGGGGGCAAATGGCATCACCCTGCCCGCTACCTGGCATGGAAACACAGGGCCTGATCCTGATCACATCCTTGTAGACCCCACTGCCCCCCTCCCCCCAATTTTAGAGGTGCCCCCCCCCTGGCAGCCCAGGGGGTCACGCAGGGCCTCCAGAACTCCCGAGTTCCCCCCAGGGATTTATAGGGACAAGTGCCACTCGTATCACCTCGAAGGGAGGCAGATGTGTCCCCAGGGAGGGGAGCCAGGATCCCCCCTGTGGCTGAGCTCCCCTCCCTGGCCACACCAGGCCCCCTCACAGAGCCCCCAGCAGTCGCAAGCAGCCAGCCTGGGCCCAGGGCCAGCTGCTGGACTTGGCCCCAGGACGAGGAGAAGGAGAAGGAGGAGGAGGCGGAGGAGGACGGCAGGATCTCCAAGGCCAGGAAAACAATGGCACTGCCAGGAGCCGGTGCCAGGCCTTTACCCGCCTGCCACCCCCCCCGGCACTGGCACCATGTGACTCCCACCCCGAGCTGCAGGCAGGTGCCAAGACCCCCCACATTCCTCCTGCCTGCAGCTGTGATGTGACCCTAGAACTGTTCCTGGGAAGGGACCAGGATCTCACCCCAACTGGGACGAGGCTGGGAGGGGACCGGCAGCTTCCTTCAACATGACGCCAGCACTTCCAGCAGCCGGGCTGGGCAGGCAGGGGTGCTGCGGGGGGCACACCCGGACCAGCCATGCTGGGCCAGGGCAAGCAGCTCAATGTCCGTCCTTCCATCCCTCCCACCATTCGTCTGTCCCAGCCGCGGCAGAACTGCCACGGCCACGCCACCCTTCGCCATTGATGACGGTGGTGCTAAATATAACCAGTGTGGCAATGACCACCTGGCTGGGAAGTTTCACTTTCACTGTTCTGCCGTTTCCCAAAAAATACCCAGTGCCCCTGGCACTGCCTCACTGCGGGGCCAGGGAAGGGCCCAAAATAGGAGCCTGACCCCAGGAAAACAAACCCCTGGAACTGACACCAACTTAGGGGGGACCAGAGTCCCTAGAAGGGAACCCAGGCATCTGGGGAAAGCAGGGTGAATCCGGCTGGCACATGGTCATCGGGGGTTCCCATCCTGTGCCCATGGCAAGAGTCCACCGGCTGCCCCTGCCCCCCCGTCCCCACCCCAGTGGGGTAGCCTCAAGAACAGGGAAGGAACCAGCTTGACGGGTCCCTGGCCGCACCCCGGGAGGCAGGTAGCACCCTGCACCCGCCCCAGGTCGCAACACAGCGGGGCCCTGAAACCAGAAGTCACCAGCCACAGGGCCACCCAGGACAGCTCGGTGGCCCCGGCATGACGTGACTTCCCCAGGGACGGGGCACTGTGACTCAGCACAGATAAGGTGCGCATGGTGAGGACCTGGGGTGCGGGTGGCTGTCACCCCAAGCTCCGCCCCAAGAGCGGCACTGGGCAATGTCCCGGTCAGCTGCTCCAGAGGCTCAGGCTTCTGCCACCAGTTCCACAGGGACCCTGAGGTGCCAAGGGTCACCATGGGGGGAGGACCAGGGTTTGGGGTGAGGCCCCGCTTTCCCCACGGCTCCCTGTGATGAGGCTGCCTGGGAAAGCATGTGACTTCCCAGAGGAGCCTGGAAGCTCCCACCAGTATGGCAGGGCTTGGTATGGCACAGCACAGCCTGGTGCGGCACAGCACGGCTCGGCACGGCTCAGCGTGGCACAGCCTGGCACGGCACGGCACGGCACAGCCTGGTACAGCACAACACAACTGAGCCTGGCGCAGCGCGGGGTCAGTGCAGCCCACCCAGGCTGGGTTCTCCCACTGCCCTCCCAGTGCCAGTCACACAAGACACGAGTTTGCAAGACCTCAGCACTGCTGCCACCTCTCTGCTCCCCCCCTCGAGCCCCTCCCCGTGGGCAGGGACGTGTGACTGAGGTGCTCTCATGTGCCCAAGCCCAGGCATCCCCACGCACCCCCCAACGGTGCCACCCCACACCCTTCTGGGCGCAGACCCCTGCCCTCACTTCCTGAGACACCGCAGGGGCCGTGGGGACACCCTGCACAGCACAACGGACAGTGACCCCACGCCGCGCCCCAATTACCCCCCACGCGATCCTGCGGGGTCCAAAAAAAGCCACCAGCCCTACAGCAGGGTCCCGCCCGTGGGCGTCCCACGGGACCCCATTCTGCCCCCACTACCTAAGCCGCGCAGAACCTCGACCCGAAGTGCCCCCCCACCCGCTCCGGGGATGGGGGTG